TTAAGGTTACATTTACCTCTAGTAATTTCAGCAATAAAAAGTTTGGGAATTGATAAGGAACATAATTTTATTATCCGTCGAAGGTTGTCTGTATGCTAAGCGCCAATTCGTTAGCTGGACTTCTAGCTCAAAATAACTAACATTTTATTTATATATTTTTTTTATTTGTTATGCATTTAAGTATTTCCCCCATTTAAATCGTTAATATGTGCTGGAAAACGCTACATTATGTGTTATATTGTTAAAAAAAGGTTTTAAAATTTTTAATAAATTTGAGGTCTATTTCCGTTTTATTAGACTGTACACAGAATGGGTGGTGGGGGTATGGAATTCTCCGCCCGCCGTTAGCTGGCGATAGCTGTCTTCACGATCGTGTGGTTCTACTATGCACGTAATCCGTGTACGCTTGGAAATAGGTTGGCAACACTTAAAGATAATAATACTGAATACTATGAGCAGCTGATTGACTATTATAACTACGATTTAACCTGTCATTTCGTGTTTATAGTTTCGGTATTTCTGAACTTTCTGGACTTTTCTTTTAAACGTTTTTAAAACATTCCTACGATCTTAATAAACAAGAAAATACCTTTAAAGCATTTTTTTAGGCGTGGAAACCACTTCAAATTACAAAAACATACGGAACTATATTCTCAAAACGCGGAGCACATTTCTTGCCGAGGAAAAATAGCGGAGTGATACGGACCGCGGGTACTAATTTCTCTAGGATTTGTGTTGCCAGCTGAACCTAAAAACGTGTTGTATAGTGTTTGAAAGATTAATTATGAATATCCTTTATAGTGACTGTAAGAAAAATATAATGTGTAACACGAGTGAAAAAGGCCTTTGCTGCACTCGAGATCATTCCGCACTCGCCTGCGGCTCGTGCGTAAACATTGCTCTCGTGTGCAGCAAAGTGCCACTTTCACCACTAGTTACACAAATAACTATTTTTAGAAATAATTTACAAGCTCACCGATATACCACAACTACATCAATGTTTCTTACTAACAAAAAAGGTTTTTATGAAATGCTTCCATTTCATAAAAACCTTTTTCAGGTTCAGGTGACTCTTCTCTGCTTGGGCCCATCAATCAATGTCCTAAGCCAAAGGTTGGCAACGGATGAACCGCGGTCACCTTTAACTCCAGGTCGTGGCCTTCGAAGTGGCAACGTCGCAAGTGGTTAGTGGTGTTATAAGAGCTGTTTTGTTTGGAAGCAGCTAATGGTATTTTTGTATTTGAAAGATTGGTTACTGGACTATGAAAATATTCACCCCGCATAAAATGTACAGATATAGATTTTTAATTCATGTTTCGGGTTTCAATTCTGTATGTTTTATTTTCAATATTTTTATAAATTTAAGTTCATAAATTTAAATCAATAAAGTGCGAAGTAATGAGCTGATGTCGCCTGTCTGCCATGGTATCTTATGGATCCGGGACGTCTGTCACTAAACAACACCACTTTGCGACGTTGCCGATTCTACCAGGCCGCGGCCTGTAGTTAAAGAGGGCCGTGGTTGTAACAGCTGTTTTGTTTGGAAGCAGCTAATGGTATTTTTCTATTTACGAAAGCTTGGTTACTGGTCCAGATTATGGACATCCCAAAAGGTCGACATTGAAATAAGACAACTAAAAATATCGAGAGTGTCGGTAATGTGGGATATCTGTCTTGAAACGACAGGAAAAAGTAGTAACTTTAGTAGTAGTGTTTACCATCAGCCTAAATTGAAAAAAAATACTTAAATAACTTTTTAAGTGCCCTCTTTTTAGTTTATTGTATGTAAAATAGTCTATGTTTTCATATTATCTGCCTAACACAACGTTGTTAACATTGACTTGTAATAAAAATAACTCTGCAACCAAACCCTTAAGTTTTACCGTTGACTACTTACTATATACAGAGTTAGTAAAAAGTGTGGAGACCGCCTGTTATTTTTTTTTAACGGCCCATACTAGAAAAACTAAACTCAGCACACCTATATGGCATGTTATGAAGTACTTTTTGGGCTTAACCTCCACTTGGTGTACATCCCCAAAATGGGGGATTTTGAGGGAAAGGGAAACTCAAAAATTTCTAATGGAAAGACCCCTCATTTTGAAGGTCCTGGTAAAAGAAAACAAACAACGCAAATTAGAGGTCTCTATCTCAATCCAGTATAAAATAGCAGCCAATTGAAATTATCAGAAGTTAAATTTAACTTACAGCTTTCCAAGTCTGGAGACCCCCTGTAAATTTTGTAACTGCTCACACTAGGAAAACTTAACTCTACACACCTATTTCGGCATGTTATGACGTACTTTTTAAGCCTAATAGCCACTTGGTTCCCAAACCCAAAATGGGGGATTTTGGGGGAAACTCAAAAGCTTTAAATGATAAGCCCCATCGAGTGACCCCTCATTTTTAAGGTCCTGGTAAAAGAAAACTAACAACGCAAACTAGAGGTTTCTATCTCAGTCTAGACTGGACAGCAGTCTAGACTCAACTTCTGTGTCGCCCGCCACAACACCGATCGGTACCATAATAGTTATTGGCCATTTTTTGTGTTTTGTGTTAAGTGTTTTAAATGTTAAAAACTGTAAATCTCAATGTTTTTTTTTTTAACGATGAGTTTGCAAGAACGAAAAGACGATGAAGACGTCCGCCTGAAGATGATCCCATGAGGATCAAAACCGGTCGCCTTTCAAGGTCAAAAGGATCACTTGACAGCAGGTAATTTCACCAGTACATGTATTGATCAGTGATTCGGAGCCTTAACTCAAACAAAATGAACCAAGTAAATATTGGAACAACCGATACCAGCAGTATCGCAATAAAAGTATCGATACCTATTGGTATCGATAGTATCGCAACATCCCTAGTGAGGAGAACCTTGACAATATCAAGACGAGTTGTGAAGGAGAATTGAAGTGAGATACTTTAACTTGACATTGGTGCGATGTTTGTTCTAAATGCCAAAAATCAGTTAATTTGTGGCAGCACTACTGTTCCATCATAAGACTGATGTTTCGTCTTGAAAATGTGATAGAGAAACTGCCAATCTAATAGGTCTATACTCCTCACCACCTTATTTTGAGGCAGCCCCAACTAACCTGCAGGGCCATTACTGGGCTGGTCTCGCACGGCGCCTTTTTACAATCCTGTTAGTGATGCTTCCTTGGACACCCTAGTTCAATATTTACATCCTACTAATATTATAAATGAGAAAGTTTGGATGTATGGATGTATGTTTGTGACAGGTGAACGCGAAAAATACTGGTCGGATTGGGCTGAAATTTGGCATGATGATAGCTCACATTCCCGATTAACATATAGGCATATTCTTATTTCAAAAATCCTTTCTGGCTCCGCCCAGTGGCTCTGGAGTTTCCCATGTTAACCTTATGAGGAATGGAATTATTGAATCTTAACCGCTGTTTCAATTAAACAAGTTGGTTCTGTTCTATGATGTTCAATAGCATTAAAGTTACAAGGATTAACAACAGGGTGCAGCACTATTATTTCTTTTACATTTATGACAACAGCTAATTTGCAACCAAAAGGTGAGTGAGCGTAGCGAACGAACTTAAACCTGGAGGCGAGTTAGCGTAGCGAACGAGCTCCATGACTTTCCATGACTATCCATGACCGTTTACCATCGATTTCCATGACTCACGAACTTTACTCAAATTATAATATAACATACACACACAAATAAAACTGCCTAGATATCGCAGAAACTACTGAAATATGTATTAACAAACAACAATGGAGTACAATGGTACAACAATGAACTAATACAAACTCAAAAATCATAAAATAATACAACTGAAATAAATTGAATCGTCGAAAATTTGTGAAAAATCCTGAAAAATGCTACAGTAGTCGGAGTTACGGCGGACTAGAGCATTGAATAGTTCCCTCAAATCATCCATCATGGGGAATTTCCATGACTTTCCATGACCTTTTACCTATTTCCATGACTTTCAATGACCAGAATTTTTTTCCATGACTTTCCATGACTATCCCTGACTTTCCAGAATGTGGACACCCTGTCCAAGCTAAAGGTGAGTGAGCGTAGCGAACGAGCTCCAACCTAAAGGTGAGTGAGCGTAGCGAACAAACTTCAACCAGGACGTGATTGAGCCATGCGAACGAGATAATCTTGAAAATTAAGAAGTTAAACGGGGCAAAGCCCGCGGGTTACAGCTAGTTAATAATAAAATTACAATCTGATATATTAATTGACTCGTTCAAATTAATAATATAATGTACAACTTTTACGGTTTATACTATGTTACTTGGTATTTTGTTTATAGCTCAAAAACGGTAAAAGTTGTGTGTTTTAGATGGGAAAAAAACATAAATGTTTGTTGGTTCAGGGGGGCCCAAAACCCAAACTCGAAAATCCTGACGAAAATAATACTTTCTGCATTTCCTATGTATTGGGGGAGAAAGTAAAAATCACTAGCCCCCAACGGCTCACTGCATGGTGCACAGTGCATTTCTCTATCGTCAAAAACGACAAATCTTTACCAACTCTCATTTTAACCCTAATATGTTTACTAAAGACAGTTCTTCACTAAATGTTTATTATGCGTTTTGAGTCCGTTTTCAATTTTAAAAATCAAACTGATTTACTTCAAATTATTTATTGCATTATATAACTTATTGGTACCCGATGATGCTAAAAAGAAGCTTAAATTAGCCTTCAAATAAAAATAAAGTCAGTTTTTTATTTGTGCTTCAGATTAGACTCAGCTGTTATTTCAGCTTTAAACATCATCCTATGGTTCGGCCGCTTAGAAAACAACCTGCGCGCTAATGCTTAACCAATGCTGGAGGAGGTCGCTTTCTAAGCGGCCGAACTATAGTTAATCAACAGCTTGTATCAACAAAGCTAAAAAATCCTACTCCTTTTTCTAGTCCTAGATTAAAAAATTTCTCAATCGCGTTCACAACTTCAAAAAGTAAGAAGTTTAATTTAGTGAGAGAGTAAGAAATTAGTGTAAAAATAGTTTAACCAATGTACACATATTTATTCCATAATTTCTTTAGGTTTGACCACTTGCAGTTCCTGCAACTGTTTGCGCACAGATTCAATATCCTCGTCTGTTACAGTTTGTTCCGCACCACACTCGGCTTCTGTTTTTTTCATCCAGATAAGCTTCTCCAATTTCTCCTTCAGGAATCCCTCCTGTTGAGACTCTAGCAGTTCCTTATATTCTTGTAAACGTACGACCTTCACTTTTTCAATGTACAATGCTGTCAATCTGCGTAGGGATTCCTTCCGCTCCACACGCTTTTCGGCGCCAAACCTTTGAACAGATTTTTGTGTTAGAAAATCTCACTACTAGTCTTGAAATAGGAAGAGTCGAACAGTGAACGATACTTTTCATCAAGATGCATAAAACCACAAAGCGTTTTATTTTAAAATAGCGAAATATATTTTTTATTAGGCCTAATATACTTTGTATATAGTTTTTATGGCATTGTTGAGCAATTTATTTGAATATCAGCTGTTCCATCAATATTCATACCAATATAATATAGTAATTTGTGTAACTAGTGGACTATGAACACTTAGGCAAACAAACAGCAAACAAACTTAGGATGAGTCAATAAACTAAAATTAAAATATAATTAGAACTTTGAGGTCTGAACGGAGGTGTAATAAGTTTATAGACAAAAATGTCTTCTCTCCACGATCACTTTTATATCGGTTTTAGTTAGGTAAAATTGTAAAAGATCGTTTTATTTAGTTTTATAAGGCATGGATCATGTAAGGAATCTATATCCTGGAACCTCAAACAAAAGTTATCCTCTAAAAGTCAATACTGACATGAATGTACCGGTAACTCTGTTTTGATACAAGAAAATAATATAAAAATGGGCCTTTTGCAGGAAAAGACTTACTTGTACACTTTGTGCTCCAAATCAAGTTTGTCCAGAATCCATTCGTACTTCTTGTAGTCTTGATGTTTGAGTTGCTCCAACAGTTTATGCCTTCTGTCGATGAATTCTTTTAAACATACTTTACTTTTTATATCTCTTGGAAACTGGGCCATGTGAATCTGAAGATTCCTTATTTTCACAGTTATCTTGGCAACTGAAGCAGTTTTTCAGAATTAAATAAAAACTCCACATAACAGGTCTTATTTAAACACAAAGCTCAGTAACTTGTAGCAAAATGGTTATAACAGTAACAGATCGATAGATTGGTAACTAAAAAGAAAAACAAAAGGCCTGGAGGTATACAACTAACTTACAATAGAAAAACTATTTATGTAAGGAATATTCCCATTCAATGATAAACTAAAGTAGGTACAAATGTCACACTTTATATTCAATAGCATTTTTAATCAGAGAAGGAAATCGAAGCCAGGAGGATAAAGCTCAGCTGCTAACTTAATGCCACTACACCGTGACGATGTAGGTCCATCGGTTAGCCTTTTGCTTGGATCGTGACAATGTCAACCAGTATGTGTGTAACAAGGCTTGTCCGCTTTAGTAATTTTTAATTAGGCCTATAATTTAAATATTCGATTGAGTTATCTGTTTTAACTTCAACGACACTGCTTCTGCCGAGATTTACATGTCTGATGCTGGCATTGTGATGCCGAAACGGCCGTAACAACAGTTACAAATTTGGTGCTGAGAAGGTAAAAGCCTACTTTTTTTGTTGATACGTTTAACTTGATTATGCCGCCTGATGATTTTTTCATGGTTTATTTATTTCATAATTTTAACCATAGGCCTATATAAGTTATTCTTGTCATTCCATCGTTAACTTATCCCCATTTTTTTTTCATTCTAATTTATCAAATAATAATTTGTTATTTAAGAATTACAAATCAACTGAAAAAAGACTGCCCTACCATAAACCAAAAAAGTCCAAACTACCCTGAAACAAAGAATGGCCCAAATTCAAATTCCAACAGCCCTAGTCCAAGAAATAAAACTCGGAGGACATGACTCCGCTGCATATCCGTCATCGTGTTGTCCAATCAACCTAACCTTAAGTTAATACTAGTGAGACGGTGTGCAAGTTAATATTTTTCTAAATAGCCTACAGTAACTTTTAGACTGTAGGATTAGTGATTAGTGATAAAGAAAACACCTTAGATGTCACGCAAGGTGGCTTGATGTATGGGGTGATGTAAATATTTTACCTACAAGAACTCCAGGCAACAACAAACGTATATATAATACAACTGAATTCAAGCTCTTGAAACTGGGATGGCAAAATAATGGCCTAGGTTAGTAGGTTTTTCTACTTGATGGACTTACTTTTCACTTCAGGTGAATTGTCATCAAGTTGATGGGACTTAACTCTATTCACATATTGATGCATAAACTCTTCCTTCAGAAATGGCCGACGTAAAAATTCCAAGGTGTGAATACGTTTGATGTTCTCATCAGCACTGAAATCAAATCAACAATTAACCTACTTTTAACTTACAATGCAAATTCCTAGACAATACGTTATTTTAAATTATTATAAAAAAATATTTAGCCTTTTAGACTTATCTAGCCTATAATTTGGCATAACCTAAAATATATTTTCCAACCAATGCATTGAAATTATCATATTGCCACACCTGTAAACAGTTTACGCAAAAATATATAGGCCTAGGCTACAACTAAAAAGTGAATCTGTGGGGTACACTTCCATATCTGTTGGCACAAACAACCGAATTAAAATATCGATTAATATATCAATTATTCGATATATTGTTTGGTTATTTTTTAGGATTTTTTGAGAGGATAGCAGGCTTACCTGAATGGGAAAGAGTCCAAACTGGCACAGGAAACACAAAACAAAACTTTACACTATATACACAAAACATTAGAATGTTTTGTGTATATAGTGTAAAGTTTTGTTTTGTGTTTCCTGTGCCAGTTTGGACTCTTTCCCATTCAGGTAAGCCTGCTATCCTCTCAAAAAATCCTAAAAAATCTAGGCCATTGTGCTCTATGCTACACCCTTAACCTCATATTGTTTGGTTAGTTAGGTAAGATTAACCTAACCTAACTAACCAAACGATATATCAAATTAAACAATTGAATATGCTTAATCAATATTACTCATTCGGTTGTTTGTGCCAACAGATATGGAAGTGTACCCAATCTGTGTGTTATGATGAGTTAATTATGGTGGTAGGAAAATCTTGTGTGTATTACAAGCACAAATAGTCATTGCTGCTCTCGAAATATATGGCCACATTCAGCTATGAGCTAAAGCTTCATGCGGCCATGTACAGTTTTCTCAAGCAGCAATGACGTACTTTTGCGCTCTTAATACACAAATATATAGGCCTAATTCAATACAATATTAGCAAGTTTTTCTAATATTAAATGTAAGATAAACCAAGTGCTACACAACAGTTATTTAAGGGTGACTGTACACGTCCGGATGTAGCCTAGAGAGAACATTAGAGAGAATTCACCTAGGTACCTACATTTTCTGATTTGAATTTTCTTCAAAACTAAAAGGCGTAAAAGTACATCCTTTAAAGGCAATTATTTAATATGTCTACAATGAGATAAGATACCTAAGATGTAATTTTTAGCGAATTTCCCATATAGGGAATAAGCTATTACCGTAGTACTCATGGTAAGACCTGGACGCGGGACCGATTTTTTTTTTCATTTTGAGGTTCCTAGAGGCCAAAAACACCATCCGTTCAAATTCATATATATATATATATTTATATATTTATATATTTATATATTTATATATTTATATATTTATATATTTATATATATATATATATATGTGTCCGTCAGCACGATAACTCGAGCAAAAATGATCCGATTTTGATGAAATTTGGTACAAACGTGTAAACCTACGTTTATTCGAACGAGTTCGCGATCCAGCATGATCGGACCATGGGAACGGGGGTTTACGGGGGGTTTTATGGGATAAAAATAGGTTTTTCCCATTTTTGACCCAAAAAACATAAAATTTAGCAATTTCTTTCCAAACCATTTTGTAGAGCTTAAAAAAACAAATAATTTAGTATATTGAAGCGTTATTATGCGCCTAATGGTTACGGAGAAAATTCCAAAAAATTGTAAATTTAAAATTCCCATGTTATTCTTATAGAGAATAAGTAAATTGTTGTAGTTTGCTTGTTTATGAACATATTTTGATCAAATTTGGAAAATGTTTTTATTTCTTACTAACTATTAACGTTTTACAAAAAAAAAAACAGTTTTACTCTCCCTGATGCAGCAAACCTAAGTACTAGTTAAACTAATTCTATTTAAATAGAGAATAAAATGTTATATTTTTAAGTAGACATTTCAGTGTAAATCCAATCAGTCAAATGGAAATTCGCTTAGTCTGCAGGTTTGCTGCGGCGGGGGTATTAGATGTCTACCTACAATTTTTTTCACGCTTAATCCGAAAATGCAATCAGTTTTTGTCGGAGAGAATCCTAAGTGGCTGTAAAGCGAAGGTTAAAATTACGAATTTAACCCTCCAAGTATCTCTAGTTTTGGTCTTAATGTTCGCCCATTTATTGCGCAATCGCAGGGTATTATTAAAATGTATCTTAGAAACTTAAATACAATGTAAAGTACCTATACTGTTTTATATATCATTTTGTTTGGAAAATTATGGGCTTCAATGTAACATAAAAAACATTACAAAAAAATGTTCAACAATTTTTGTGGGGTTAATATTTCTCAAAAATTATAAAATAAATGAAAAAAATTTATGTTTGCGCTCAATAAATTGTTATAATTTATAGTTCTACAAATATTTTAAAATAACCACTTTGTTCAGAATTTTATGAGGATTCCAAAAATATAATAATATAAGGAAGTAGGTTTGCAAATAAATAAGTTATGGGCAAAAAAACAGATTTCGGTACATAGCGTTTAGCTAAGAATGCATAGCCTAACCATAGCTAGGAATCTGGCTGATAATTTACATCAATATCACTACCTACTTCTTCAGGATCATCAACCAGCCCTTCAAAATCACTTAAATCTTCTTATAATGCACCACGTATATCACTACTTTTGATTTTTAAAAACTCAAAAAATTATAAACGTAATAAAACACATCAGTCATCGGTGCGAGGTTAACCAAGCTGTTTACAAATACGGAAGTCAGCTGTCTGCTACAATATTTTCGGAACTAAAATGAAAAGCGAATAGAAACAGACATCAGGAGAAAGCTCTGAATCTGCTGAAAAAAACGATACCCAACTCGATCCAGTTCAATCCGATTCAGTAAGTCCCAGAGCCGTCGCCGTTAACAGTGTTTGTGAGTCGCAAAAGCGACACATAACACTACAGCGGATGTGTTATGAGTCGCTTTTACGACACATAACACTCGGAGGGTTAAGGTTAATTTAGCGGTAGATGGTGTTATGGCGGGGTCCGTATGTAGGCTGAGGATTGAGTGAGGAGAGCAAACAGCTGTTTATACTCGACTTAATGCGGAACGTAATGAATTTGTTTTGAAACTAAATAATCAGCTAGCTTATTTAGGCATGTGGGGAAGATAGGTCGGGTTTTATGTGGATTCGTGACTGTATTAAGTGTTTTGAAGTTAGGTTAGATTAGGAAGGTTAAGTTTAGGTTATAATGAACCTACTTATTCATTTACTTTACCTCCAGACTGTCTTTGCACAATTGAAATAGTGGGTGAAACACATAATAACTATATTAAAAATGCTTGATAGATTACCTAATTTTTAACCTATCTTCAAAGGACTTAATACAGACACGAATCCACATAAGGACCAACCTATTTTCCTCACATGACTTTTTTGTCATTAACTTAACTTAAATGGAATTTTTTGTAAATTAAGAGGGTTGTTGGGTTACGTTATGTTAGAATAGATTATCTGAGTTTAATTTAATATAGCCTAAAAGGGATTCAATAACTTCTTGTATGTCTTACAGCTAAAGAAAATATTTTTACCAAGCATAGAATCTCGCATTGTTGTGGTTACCTTATTACACATGTAATATTATTTATTAGTTCCTGATACATGAAATTATGCACTGTTGCAAGGTTTCACTTTTAGGCACTGTGGGATTATTCACTAAGTATGGCACGTTAGTTAACAGACGTTGAGGGTGGAATTGAGGACGATCATGTCGTTATTGAAGTGGCAGTGGCATAGCTTCTATTACTTGTATTGTACGAGAATAAATTCAATTTTTAGCGAATTTCCCAAATAGGGAATTTTAAGCTATTACCGTAGTACTCATGGTAAGACCTGGACGCGGGACCGATTTTTTTTTTCGTTTTGAGGTCCCTAGAGGCCAAAAACACCATCCGTTCAAATTCATAAATATATATATATATTAAAAACAAAACATATATAACAAAGTACCCTTTTAGTAATTATTTTATTTTTCATGACGACATGTTTCGGAACTAAGTCCATTGTCAAGTCATTTTTACCATCATTATGGTAAAAATGACTTGACAATGGACTTAGTTCCGAAACATGTCGTCATGAAAAATAAAATAATTACTAAAAGGGTACTTTGTTATATATGTTTTGTTTTTATTATATTAGTAGCCCTAAAAATGCAAGAAAATAATATATATATATATATATATATATATATATATATGTGTGTGTCCATCAGCACGATAACTCGAGCAAAAATGATCCGATTTTGATGAAATTTGGTAGAAACGTGTAAACCTACGTTTATTCGAACGAATTCGCGATCCAGCATAATCGGACCATGGGAACGGGTGTTTACGGGGGGTTTTATGGGGTAAAAATAGGTTTTTCCCATTTTTGACCCAAAAATCATAAAATTTAGCAATTTATTTCCAAACCATTTTGTAGAGCTTCAAAAAACAAATAATTTGGTACATTGAAGCGTTGTTATGCGCCTAATGGTTACGGAGAAAATTCCAAAAAATTGTAAATTTAAAATTCCCATGTTATTCTTATGGAGAATGAGTAAACTGTTGTAGTTTGCTTGTTTATGAACATATTTTGATCAAATTTGGAAAATGTTTTTATTTCTTACTAACTATTAACATAACATAACTATTAACATAGCTATGCAGCAAACCTAAGTACTTGTTAAACTAATTCTATTTAAATCGGGAATAAATGTTATATTTTTAAGTAGACATTTCAGTGTAAATCCAATCAGTCAAATGGAAATTCGCTTAGTCTGCAGGTTTGCTGCGGCGGGTGTATTTTATAATTAATGTTGATGTGATTAATAGTTTAAGTATCGTACCTACTTGAGTTAAGTACCCCCGTCCTAGTTGGGTATGCAGATGACGTTGCGGCCTTAATAGCTGCACGTAGCATTGAGCTTGCCCAGCTGAAACTAAATCGAGTCATGCGAACCATTAACGCATGGATGGCAGAACATGGTCTCTCGCTCGCTCTGAGCAAAACTGAGATTGTGATTCTGACTAAAA